TACTTCAATTTTTAATTACTATTTGGCATTTGCTACAACTCTATCTTGTACTATTCTAATATATTTTTGTTGCTCTGCTATTTTTATTATTGCTATTGCTGTTGTTGCTACTACTGCTGCTGATGCTGATGCTGATGCTGTTGATGCTGTTGATGCTGTTGATGTTGCCTAATGTTAATGCTGATGCTTAGTGCTGTTATGCGCTCGACGAATCTCGTTAAAGCTCTCTCTTTCTCTCTCTCTCTCTCTCTTTCTCTTTCTTCGTTCAACGTCATTGAAATAGCTCGAACGTGTTCAAAATAATAAAAATCTTTTTTTTTTCTTTTTTCTTTTTTGTAGTTAAAGAAGAAAAAAAATGAGATATATAGAGATAGATAAAGGTGGAACTAACGGTAAAATCGATGGATCTTCGAACGATACCGAAGTAATGTCATTGTCATTATTGCCGAATAAAGTGTATATATTTATGTATCCTTAAAATACATCTCGCATTATTCATTTTCATTATAAAAAAAAAAATATATATATATATATGTGTGTGTGTGTATATATATGTGTACATTGGAATTGGATAATTATGTAGAATTTTTTTCTCCGATCATTTTCGATACGAAATCATAGCGATCGTTGGAAGTATATAGCATTATACTTTATTTATTGTACCGTTACTTGGACTCAATATATAGATATCTTAACTATCAGAGAGTGAGAGAGAGAGAGAGAGAGAGAGAGAGAGAGAGAGAGAGAGAGAGAGAGAGAGAGCGAGAACGAGAACGAGAGAGTGTCATTGAGTATAATAATAGCAGTAATAATAATAATAATAATAACAACAAGCAAAATAATAATATTAATAATGACGATGATAAAAATGTTGATGATGATAATAATGATAATGCTCATAATGATGATGATGACGATGACGATGTATAAAAATGTTATTATAGTTAGAGAAACATGACCATAATAATTTTAATTAGGAAATAAACAATGTAACGTAACGGGGATCATCGTATATCTCGTTTCATCTAGTTTCGTCTCTCTGGTTTATTGACGTGGATTGATACACGTGACTCATTGTCATGGAAAAAGAAGTAGAACACCGACCTAGGTCAATCCAACGTAGGTCTCCCTTTCGTTCGCGTCCTTTCCTTATCTCTCAACGCCGAACGGCCGTTCTCCTTTATTTTCCCCTTGAGAGTCCTGCGACGGTCGACTATACTACTACTATTACTACAACCATGTCTCTCTCTCTCTCTCCCTCTTTCTTTCTTTCTTATTCTCTTTCTCTCACTCTCTCCCTCTCTCTCTCTCTCTCTCTGCTCTCCCACCCATAGAGTCCATCGATTCTCCGAACGACGTGCTACATTTACCAGCCCTTTTTCTCGTAATGCGATTTTTACGTCGACGGGTTGAAGGAAGACAAAAAAAAAAAAAGAAAAGAAGAAAGAAAAAAAAAGAGAGAAAAAAAAAAGGAAAAGGCGGAGGGGGTGGCAGAAAAAGAGAAATAAGAAACGCGAGTTTTACTTTCTTCTCGTCGTCGTCTTTTTCGCTTCTTCCTCTCCTCGCCTCTTTCGAATTTTCCTTCTCGATTTTTTTTTTAGCTCTCTTTTTTTCTTTTAATTTTTCTGTTTCTTTCTTTTTTTTCTTTTTTCTTTTTTTTTTTTTCCCCCAACAAAAAGAAAAAAAAAGGAAGAAGAAGAAGAAGAGAGGATACCGTTACGCGTTCTCTTCTCTACTTCATTATGGCCTTCCTTCTTTTTTCGTTTTTGAAAAAAAAAAAAATTTTCGACGACTGAAGCGAGTAGAGTTTCGTTGTCGTCGTCGTCATCATCATCATCATCATCATCATCATCATCATCATCATCATCATCATCATCATCATCATCATCATCATCATCATTTCCTTTGACCTTTAATTCTCTCCTTTCCGGGAAAGATATTGACCTCTGACATCCTTCTTGATTATATTGTTTTTCGTAGGAACGAAACATGATGGTCTCTTTATACGATGTCCTTTTCTTATCTATTTGTTTATCTTTCTCTCTTTCTCTCTCTCTCTCTCTCTCTCTTTCTGCGTGCTTTGAGAATGATGATCGCGAATGATTTAATCGAATACATTATGGGATTATTTCGTTTACGTTTGAATGATTCCGAAAGAGATCGTCTTTAAAGCTCTCAAGCGATAAAAAAAACAATATTATAATGTATATAAGTATATATATTATTGACCATTATCGTACAATAAGTATATATACATACAATACATAACGTTATATGGATACATTAGATGAGGTACATAGATATATATATATATATATATATATTCTATTAATTATTAACCCTTACTTCTTTTGCTTAACGAAGGCTTCATCAAGAGTCGCGTCTCTCCTTTGGATAATCGTGTAGCTCTTCGTTCCCGTCGAGTTCTATCGTTTCGCACGAAGTAATTTACACTAGCCGAAGAGTATACATTCGAGTTTGTGAGACTCTCTCTCTCTCTCTCTCTCTCTCTCTTTGTCAGTCTATCCGTTTGTCTCTTTCTCAGATACACATATACGTACATATATATAGTGGTACACGCATTCAAACAGACTCAGACTCTCGCGCAAGCAAACTCGCGCTCATTCTCTCGTCTGCTTTCGGCCGTAATTCCATAGTTGCTCGGATAATAGTTACGTAACTGTTAATGCAGTTGCAGCTCGCTCGCACGGTGTAACTAAGCTAATCGTCAAATATTTACCAAGCCGTATAATACGGCCTAGTGGTCTCTCTCTCTCTCTCTCTCTCTCTCTCGCTCTCTCTCTTTATCTCTCTATCTCTCTCTTTCTTTTTCTCTCGATTCGCCTTTCTCTCCTGCTATCTCGTACCTACCTACTTACTTCGTCTTTAGCAGAACCGCTCATGTAACGAGTATAACAAACGAACGGAGAAGAAGAGCCCAGGGCCAGCAAGTTTCTCTCAAGGAAAATCTATGCGTAGTAGTAATAGTAATAATAATAGTAATAGTAATAGTAATAGTAATAATAGTAGTAGTAGTAGTAGTAGTAGTAGTAGTAATAAGTAGATCGTCGGCTAACCCAAGCCGCGTTCTCTTCCTCGTCAATTTGACGTTATTGTTCTCCTCATAATCGTCACTGTCACTCTCATTCTATTATTCGCATAAACGTTTACGCGTATTTTTCAGCCCATCGTCAAACAAAATTATTAATACACCACTCGTCCTTATTATACATATACGATCGGCTTTATTCGTCGTATCATCGTGAAAAACTTTCTGTATTAACCCACGATTATTAATAATAATAATAATAATAATAATAATAATAATAATAATGATAATAATAATAATACGATTAAATGACAATCGAACGAAATAATACCAAGTGTATTATTAATACGCTGTAAAGAGAAATCTCTCTTCTCTCGTTATAAAAATATTATCCTTTCGTTTTATTTTCTTTTCTTTCTCTTTACTTTTTTCTTCCTTTCTCTTTTTTCTTTTTTTTTCCTTTTTTTTTTTTTTGTCTTTTTCGTTAACAACGCTCTTAAATAAAAGTCCATACAATGTACAAGGATTATTCAAAATTCCTTTGTTAAAGAAAACATCGAGCTCGAACTCGTGAACGGATTAAGAGGGAAAGATATACTGGGACTGATGGGATTGGGACAATGGCGGGAGAAGAGATGAGAGTTGATCGTTCGTCGTTTTAACCTCCTCCTCCTCCTCCTCTGCTTTTTCCTCCTCTTCCACCACCATCACCATCACCATCACCATCACTATCATTCTCCTTTCCCGGTTGGTTTTGAATAAATTACTTTCGGCCTTATCTTCCTGGCCGGAAACAACGTGATTACGGAATATGCTACTCAATCCGAACGGTTGCTCATTACCTCTCTGCCGTTTTCCCAAGAGCTTTCTCTTAACTTCTCTTTTCCACCTTTACTCCTCCTCTTCATCTTTTCTACTTCTACTTCTACTTCTTCTTCTTCTTCTTCTTGCCTCTCTATGTTCGTTTCACCTAGCTAACTCTTTCTCTTCCTCCTCTTTCTCCTCCTCCTGCTCCTCCTCCCCTCGATCCCCTTCCCGTCCTATCCCACCTCATTCCGCCCTCCTCCATATCTCTCTTTACCACTAGTTTATTAATGACCTTCCATCTTGGCCCGTTAGTAACGTCAAGATTGAATGTCTTGTACGCTAATGATCTCGTTGTCTATTAACAATGTTCACAGAGAAAGAGAAAGAGAGAGAGAGAAAAAAAGAGAGAGAGAGAGAGAGAGAAAGAGAGAATATTCTCTTGCGTACCCAGTGGTACAAGAATGAATATACAAGCTGAAAAGCCACCGCCCACCATTACTTCCTTCGTTACTCCTCAAGTCTCTTTGTTGGCTCGCCTACCTTATCGATGAATAAGGAAGAGAACGTAATTCGAGGGAAGAAATAATTAATAATCTACCGTTGTTGAAACGTTTCAAATCGTCCGGTGGTGATTTTAATTGCTCGGAATGTAATGGGGATGGGAGGGCGGGGGGGGGGGGTGGGGGCGAGCGAGAGGTCTTCTTCAATAAGAATAAGAATAAGAAGAATAGTGGTGATCTTTTGTATATTCCTTTTCTCATTGTTGCATCTTCATCTATGAATATTTATCTATTTACCTACATGTACACGTAAATACATAATAAAAATTGTCAATTAATATATACATATATATATATATATATGTACTTAGATTAATAGTATCATAGTAGTAGTTACGCGAATGAATTTCACTTGTCTCTCTGGATTGTGATTGAAGTTTTATTTTTTTTTTTTTGGGGGGAGAGAGTGCGGTGGGTGGGAGGAGGTGGTCATTTTCATTCATTCATTTTACTTTCTCTCTTTTTTTTCTAATTTTTTTTTTCTTACCATTTTTATTTTATTTATTTTTCTTTTATCTTTAATATATTTCTTTTCTTTTTTTTTGCTGTAATCTCATTCCTTATCATCGCCTTTTATCTTTCAGGAAAACGACCAACTAAACCCACTCGCTCATCTATCGGACTATCATATATACAGAATTCCGAACGCAAGGAGGTGTTTCAACGCGCCCTTCGAGTGGGGCGCTTGTCTGAGGCCAAGAAGCAACGCTGAGGCCGAAGACACGGAGGGTGGGGAGCACGGGCTCAAGGTCATCGCCTTCCACAGCGAAAAGGCACGGGCTTGTTGGCTTACAGCCATGAGGCTCGCAAAGGTAACGTAAATCTTTTCTATTTTTCTATATTTTTCCCCCCGCCCCCCTTGCAAAATCCATCCCCTATCTTATCCTACCCTATTCTCTCTCCTCCACCTCTCCTTCTCCTCCCTCACTCAACCATCGATCTTCTATTATCTCATCGTTTCCCTTTTTTTCTTTTTTTTTTTTTTCTCCATATTCTATGATTTTCCATGTGCCAAGTTCGAATATCAATCTTTTTTTTTACAAAGACTATTCACGAAAATCTATCCTCGTTCGTTAATCGTTCGATTCCGATTGAAAGATATAAAAAGATTGGATAGGTGGGGGAGAGGATGGAGAACAAACAAAATATAGGAAAAAATATTACAAGGAAAGAAAAAAAAAAAAAAAGAAAAGGAAGAATGACGATGAAGAAGATGAAAAAGAAGAAGAAGTAAATGGAATCGGTCCGAGTATATGTATATATATAGTTTGGTAGGACCCTTATAAAGGGGACCTCTTCTCAGCGGTCTATTCTTCTTTCGCGAAGTGGAGGCTCAGACCGTGCTCTCGAGGCCAACGATGAGTCTCTAGTGGTAAGTCCGTTTCTGGTAACATCAAGAATGATACCAGGAACGGCAACAATACTACCACCAGTATCAGTATCAGTACTAGTATCATAACTTAGCATCAGTAACAACACTGGTACTCTCATCGTTGTCATCGTCGTCGTATACTTTCTCATTTGTAAGGTTCAAAAAGGCCCCCCCCTCATCCTCCACCAACCCCACCACCCTCCCCTGAACTAACCCTCAACACCGAGATGTGTGTCTTTTCTTAAATAACACCCTCAGGCTTCTCTGTTATACATACGTAGAGTCTAGCCTGTGAAATCTGACGTACCCTCGTTTTACATAGCTCTCCTCTATCTTTTTTCCTCCCTCTTCTTTATTTCTTTTTTTTTTCTTTCTTTCTTTCACTTTTTTCTTCTTCTTCTTCTTCTTCTTCATTCTCTTTGGTCCCCTATTCATTCGTCTCTCGTTCTTTCTCTCTTAAGGATTATCTCTCTCTTCTCATCGGTTACACATTCGTCTCGCAGCCACACGTTCAACACCGAGTTTTTCGTTAAGGGAAAAGATAGACAGAAAGAGAGATAGATAGAGAGAGAGAGGGAGAGAGAGAGGTAGAGTCATCCACCGGGTGTACTTTTCTACAGAAGGTGTAGCGCTCGTACGACATTTTTTTTTAGAGAGGAACTCGAATACTTCGCGACTCTTTCATCCCCGAGCCAAAAAAAAAAGAGAGAGAAGAAGAAGAAGAAGAAGAAGAAGAAGGGATAGGTAGTGGGGTAGTACTGAAGGAAAGGGTGAGTGGTCGTCTTGAAGCCGTCTCTCTTTTGCAAGAGATAGAAAGAGACACCGTTTCGGTTCTTCGCTCGGACGAAACTTAACCTCTTCCTCCTCCTCCCCCTCCTCCTACTCTTTTTCTTCTTATCGTGGCACACTTGCTTTCGTTCCTTCCGACTTTTTTCTCTCTCTTTCCCTTTCTTTCTTTATCTATCTATCTATCTTTCTCTCTCTCTCTCTCTCTCTCTCTCTCTCTCTCTCTCTCTCTCTCTCTCTTTCATCTCGTCGACTTCGATCTACGTGGTGCTAGTAACTTCTTCAGATCGTCGAGTGCTTTTTCTCTCCTCCTTCTCGACATTAACGTCATAGAAACCTCCTCCTCCTCCTCTTCCCTTCTCCTTCCCCCATCCCCCATCCCCCATCCCTCGATCGAGGAAATTCTACTTCGATCAGTGACGGATTAACCATTTGCGAGAACCCTCTCTATGAATTTAAAGTGGATAACGATCTTTTTCGAGGACGTTTAATAATTCTTCTTCTTCTTCTTCTTCTTCTTCTTCTTTTTCTGCTTCTTTTTCTTCTTTTTCTTCTTTTTTTTCTTCTTTTTATCCTAAAGCATTTATCTCACCACGTCGGAGGTTAACGATCTTATTAGTTATATGAAAAAGCTATTATAAAGATCTAAAGCACGGAATAAACTTTCCTATGAGAATTATATTTTTAGAATCGTTCTTAATCAGTATGTAAAAATAATACGTGAACTAATAATATGTCTCCTTTTATAGTTCTATTCTTTTCTTTTTTTTTTCTTTTTTTTTCTTTTTTTTTTCCATCTCTTTCATTTCTTCGCAAGAAAGGAAAGAAATCCTACTGTCAGTTTGTTTGTTGTTTCTTCCATTTCCTTCTGTTTTCTCTTTTCTTCCTGTTTTCTTTGTTTTTCTTTTTTTTTTTTTTTTTTTTTTTCTCTCGTTAAATCCATCAAAAACCATTCGTATTGTACGAAGAGGAAAAAAATCAACCCTTTACAATTTTGTCGTACGTATTAATAAACTCAATGACGTTTCTCAACGATTATTATTATTAGAACGGATACGGCGGGTGGTGGGGATGGAGATCGTGGTGGTGGTGGCGATGGTGATGGTTCTTTTTTCTTCCTGTTTTCTTTGTTTTTCTTTTCTTCTTTTTTTTTTTTTTCTCTCTCGTTAAATCCATCAAAAACCATTCGTATTGTACGAAGAGGAAAAAAATCAACCCTTTACAATTTTGTCGTACGTATTAATAAACTTAATGACGTTTCTGAACGATTATTATTATTAGAACGGATACGGCGGGAGGTGGGGGTGGAGATCGTGGTGGTGGTGGCGATGGTGTGATGGTGGTGATCTCTTTAATTTGTTAATTGAAATTTTTCTTTGTTCAAAAATTAATGTCGTTTGAAATAAGAAAATAAAATAGTAGATTTCGATCTTATCGATCTAAAGAAAAAAAAAAAAAAAAAAAGAAAAAGAAAATAAATAAATAATAAAAAAGAAGAAAAAAGCAAGAAAGAAAGAAAGAAAGAAAGAAGGAAAAAGAAAAAGAAAAACAATCACCCATTCATATAATTCATCGTCATTCAATTTAATCAAATATCACCTTAGTTAATTATTATAAGAATATAATGTTTCTAATTTGATCGATAATTCTATTGATTTTAATTGTTCTATTTAATCGTAAAGAAAATAATTAAATTATATCTTATCAGTTTTGTTCGAACGTATCTTCCTTCTATCGATCTCTTTATTCTATATATTCTATATATATATATATATATATATGTGTGCGTATGTGTGTGTGTGTGTGAAAGAAAAGAAAAGATCGATCGAATGGGATGAATCGAAGTTTTTCAAGAAGGGAAAGAGAGAGAGAGAGAGAGAGGCGATATATTCCGGTCGTCGTCCTTCGAGGAGCTTTACAAATTGCTTGTTAACCATTCCGGCTTCGAGCGTTCCTTCTTATATAAATGGATAATTCGATTACGTAATTATACGATCGTACCGTAGATACTCACCGTGGGGGTCACCTTGCCTCACACGCCTTCGCTCGCGTCGTTCTTCGATAAAGATTACTTGATATCACCAGAACGGTGCCGGTGGTTCTCTCTCCTCTTCTCGTTGCAAATAAAACTTCTACTATGAAACATTAACTCCGGTTGACATACTCACGATGATGATTCTCTTTTTAAGTTTTGAATCGTGCCTTCGTGACTCGCAGAAACGATTATTTGAACGATGTTGATTTCACGGTCAATTCTCGGATACGATCTTTTTATCCTTTTCTTTCGTTCTCTTTTATTCTTCTTTTTTTCTCTCTCTCTCTCCGTCCTCTGTGTATGTGTGTGTGTGTGTGTGTGTGTGTGTGTGTCACTCTACGAATTCGATTCTCTAAAAGATATCAAATTGAATAATGATCGAATGAAGGATTAAGATAAAGATCATTATTATATTATTGGTTAGTTTTGTAATTCGCGAATAATTTTAATGAATTATTCGAATAGGATAGATTTTGGATCACAATGAAATAATGTCGATCGTGAATTGATATTATTATAAAATTAAATACTTTGAAGATAATAAAATAAAATTTGTATTATTATAACGTCATTAATAACGAGATCGTAGGAAGTCGTAATTTTTATTAGTGCTTGTGCGTCATGTGCGCGGACGCCCGGCTCGCGCACGAAAGGGAGGATGATAGGGCAGTCTTCCGGGTCGATACGGTGTGGGTCATATCCACGGTCGATCCACGCCTATGGCCGCGTAACGTCGAAGACTACCTACCTACCTACCTACCTAACTCCCTACCTACCTACCTACCTACCTACCTACCTACCTAAGTTACCTATCTATCTATCTTCCTACCTACCTACACATCGTGTTCCTTCTCCTCCTTTTTTTACATCTTGTGCACAACCTACTTTATACCTACCTACCTACCTACCTACCTACTCGGCTACCTACCTGCCTGCCTATCTACGTATACATGTATATATGTATGTTCGAACGTGTTTCGCGTTGCACGCGATACGCGATGTATCGAGAGATTTCGTTTATCGCACGAGTTGTTTCTCTTTTTTTTTTCTTTTTTTTTTCTCCCCTTTGGATTATTATTATTTCCTGAAAACTCGTAATTTACATTACGACGCGTTTTCTCTCCTATATAATATATTATACATTATCAATAATCATTGTCATAGATATTTTTTTTCTCTTTTTTTTCTTTTTTTCTTTTTTCTTTGTTTTTTTTCTTCCCCTAAACTATTCGCGTCTGGATATTAATCGGTCTACAAGCGTTTTCCTTTCTTTTTTTTTTTTTTTTTCTTTTTCTTTTTTTTAAATGCGCAAAGAATCAGTTTTCATCGATGAAGAAAAAAAAAAAGAAAAAAAAAAAAAAAGAAGAACAACTTCTATTATTAATTTCACGCTTCCCGTTATAAATCGTACAATCGTATTTATTTACGTATGAGGAAAACAAAAAACAAAAAAAGAACAAAAAAAAGAACAAAAAAAAAATAAAAATAAACAAAAATAAAAACAAAATATAAAGATAAATGATAGGAACGTATTACGTAAGTAGTCCAAAATAGATAATAGCGAAGATATATACATATGTATCTACACGTTTCTGTTTTAGTACGGCAAACAGCTCAGGGAGAACTACAGGGCATTTAAAAACAAGCAGTGCGAACAGTCGTCCGGTGGTAGCCCGAAGGAACAATACAGCAGTTACAACGTCACCAAC